GTAAACTTATGTGCATGAGGAAAGGGGTGGGGCACATGCATGCACTGGGCCCTGTGGGAAGCTATTTCTGTCTTTTGCTGGGAATTTTAAGGGAGGCCTCACTCAGAATATTCATCAGCTTTCTAGGTGTGTCCTTTAATATGCTGATGCATCAATCTCTGCTCAAATTCACCTCTATCTTGGATTTGTTAGGCTCTAATTGTTTTTTTTTTTTTTCTTTCTATTGATTCCCCTGACTTTATTCATTTGGGTTTGGCTGGCACTAATGGCACTAACTGGGTCTCTGTTATCTATCTCTCTGACTGGGGTTATTTAAGCTCCCTGCTCTCTGGCTGGGAAGGAGACATGTAAACCATCAGCTCCTAAGGGTCCTTGGTTAGGGAGGAGAGGGACTTGTGATTTATCAGCTGGATGTTAATTGCTCAGCTGTTCCTGTAACTGGTTTGTCTCCTTCCACTAGTTTTTTCTCCTTCCACTTCTCTAGGAATTTTCCTAGCTTCTTACTATCCTGCCTGGCATGGCAGGAAGTAGGAGGTTGACCCCTGCAATGACTGTCTACCTTGCGGCCCCACAATCAACAGAGCCTCAGCTGGGAGTTAAAACTTGGAGGACTGTGCCTGGGACAGGCCCTGAGCTACCAGGCTCCACCTGCAGCTTCCTGTAGAGAGGAGCTAAACTTCCTCTACAAGATTCTTGATTTTACCTTGAGAATGAAGTAAATTAGAACCCACAAATGGGCACTGTCCCATGCAATGTGACACCAGTGCAGGGTGTGTCCTGAGAATATTCTTCCATGCTTCTCAGGTTCTTACAGGAGACCTTTGGATTTTTGATGAAGAAAGAAGCTCTAAGACATATTGGCATGTTCCTTTATTTCTCTTAAGACAGCTGAGGACATCAAATTAAGAATCAAATCATATACCTGCCACCTTCAGCAGAAAACTGGGGACAGAGCATTACATTTAAATCAAGTTCATTGTGTCGGCTTTCTTGTTCTTGGAGGTGGAGAGCCAGAGTCTGGGGTGCAGAGTCCTGACGATATCTTGACTTCTGCATAAGCTTACCTGCCTGGGATCAGAAAGCAGCCACATTACATGGATCTTAGTAAAAGAGGACCCTTCTCAAGTACAGGTGTCTTGCTAGACTCCACTTCCATTAGAGGACAGCTCCAAGAGCTGGGATCCAAAGTTCCAAGAGCTGGGATCCAAAGTTCAGTAGTATTCTCATTCAGAAGAAGGTCCTGACAGAGTCAGCCAAATGTATTGAACATGTTAGCAATGTGACCTGAGCAAAAAAGTAATGAGTCCAGGAGGTGGCACCTCTGCACATCATTATGAAACAACTGGGACTTCTGTAGGGGCATCGGCAGTATTGCCTAAGTCGTGTGTAAGGGGATGGAATCACTTTCCACAGCAGGAGTTATCTAAGCTAAGACCGGGATCCATTCCCCCCGTGGCCTCAATCTTTACCTCTCTTGTGGCTCTTGGAATCCAGTAGACTTCAGAAACAACAAAAAGCACAATTTGGGCTAATAGAAAAACCCAGCTCAACAAGGACAAGTGAAAAACAAATCTGTTTTTTTGCCCCTACTCCTAGCCATTCCAAACCTTCAAGGTGTCCATTTCCACTGTGTGTCTTCAGCCAGAACTGACCGTGTTGCATCTGGATGGCACAGGGAGGGCTATGGTGGCCACTGGACAAGGCTCTTGGGTGAGGCTTCTATAAGGCTGGAAGACACCCTGCCAGCTCCAGAGGCACATTCCTCCAGAGGCTGTCATTCTACCCGGACAGCTGGCCTGTGAGAGCCAAGGGAGGCAGCCTGGAAGCCCGTGTGGCAGCACTGAGCATAGACACATAATGTCCAGCAAAGGCATCATCAAAGCACCATAACTTTAGGGTTAGAAGGCAACTCAGAAGAAAATGTGTTTGTGTATTTATTTATTTATTTATTTATTTATTTATTTATCTTCACTGAGGACATGCTTAGAGAGATGGGCAGAGGGAGGGAGGGGGAGAGAGAGAGAGAGAGAAACATCGATGTGAGATAGAAATATCAGCAACATTATAGGTTGCCTTCCATACATGCCATGCCCGGCATTCGAACCCGCAACCCAGGTATGTGCCCTGACCAGGATTCGAACCAACAACCCTGCAGTGAACAGGACAACACTCAGCCAACTGAGCCACTCCGGCTGGGCAATGGCAATGTGTTTAGACATGAAGAAACCTAGACCCAATGCCTGGACAGTCAGAGCCAGGACTCAGAAGCAGGTATTCTGACTTCAGCTGCCGAGCTTGTCAGTAGCTCCCCTAGTCTCCTCCACTGCATCACTCTCTCAGAGATCCTCAATTAGGTGAGGATGGATCTCCTTCAGGGCTCGGTACAAGTTGATTTTTGCAGG